AAGACAGCCTTAGTCTAAGGCTATCTTTGTAAAATAGTAGTAGAGATGCGCTGTTTCTTAAGAAAGAGTATGTTTATGAGAATTTAGTACTCTAAATGTAATATTGACTTCGGTAGATTTTGTTCCGTTGTAGGAAGTTATTATAATCTGTAAAGGTCATTTGATTTAAACTACTGAAAGCTTCTCGGCAAAAATAGCCTACATAAGCTTACAATAATCGGATTTAAACTCGATGGCCATGGGTATACCATTTTTTCTTAGCTATGGTGTTCCGCTCGCGCGGCTATAAATACCAATCAAGCAGATTGTGAGAAATAACATTAAGTATCACTTTATGGTACTGTGATTGACTGACAGTAAGTCTGAATTCACTTTTTTTGAAACACATATGGTAACACAAACAAGTTTCGACTAATCGTGAGTTATTCCTGGGTATGATTGAATTCTGAATTGAATTCTGTAAAAGGAAACTCAAATTACGTTTGTTTTAACGTTTTGGGAATAATTCTGTAATGTTGTCAGCAAGGACATACAAGAACACACTCATTTTATACCAAGCTCGCCCAGAAGGCGTAATTGTTTTTATAATTTTACAGTATTGTTATTTAGTAGTGAATTGTTGCTGAGCACACACAATTTGATGAAGAAAATTTTACTTCCCTAAGATTGAACATGGAAAGAAAAGGTGGATTTGCTAAAGACAAGGTATCGTGGATGCTTTCTTAAATGATAGTGGGGGAGTAAGTTGTCTTAATGAATTTAGGTGTTATCTCTTCAGGCAAAACTTACTCCTCAAGAACGAATGAAAAGAAGAATGCAGSTCATGCTAAACAAGCAACGTAAGCCATGTTAACGATTTGTTGATTGTCAAGCCCATCCCGTTCCAACTCATGTAATCTCTTTTCAGTGTAATTTGTTCACTCAGTGCTCTGTTTTGTCTTTTAATGCTTTCGTGTTACTAGAGAAAATKGTCCCCACAACGAAACAGTTTCCGAGAAAATATTTTTCTATGGTTGATTTAAGGCCGTGTCACACTGGCGTTTTTTTCGTGCAACTTGTGTTGCGCAAAAAATGTTGAAGTTGCACGAGCGTTTTTTTACGTGTGACACCCCCTCATGCAACTTGAACATTTCATTTTTTTGTTGAGAGAAAAGTAGAACTGGCTTCTACTTTTTTCAACATTTTTCGGAAAAACGCGTGTGTGACATGGTCTCTTGCAACTTCCAAAATTTTCAATTACGCGCACGAACCCATAAGAAAGCGAAAATCTGTCCTGCTGTCACTTGTTGTAATAATCAACAAAGATGTCCGACGCCATCTTTGGCGAAAGCGATAATTTTGAAGAAGAAAACGAGACAGAAAGTGAGGTGATCGTACATTTTCAATTTACGCGTGCAACTTGAACATTTTTTTGTGCGAGCTAAGTTGCAACGGAATTTTGCCAGTGTGACATGGCATCGTGCAACTTCAACATTTTTTTGCGCGACACAAGTTGCACGAAAAAAACGCCAGTGTGACACGGCCTTTAGAGGCAAGAGTTTGAAAGCGAATAGGGTTGTGATCATGTAGTTTATGATATCTCGCAATCTGCATGTATTGTGTAGTTGTTCAATTTCTATTTGCTCTTTACAAAGACTAATTGAGGTGCTTGTTTTCTAGCTGATGTTGGGTGATTTTTGAGTTCTTCTTTAAGTTCTGGTTCTTTTGACTTTTTGTACGACAAGATTGATTTTGAGATATCTTAATTAAGCCCAAATGTTTCCCTCAGTACTTATTAAGCTTGCTCATAGGCAAAGAATCCAGCTTTAGACAATAGAGTTCAATGTAATTTTGATAACGTTATATATCTGTTSAAAGATGTAAGGTAAGGGAGTCATTTGTCTAATTAATTGTTGTAGTGAAAGTGGATCGCAAAGAAGAACGCATAAAGCGAGATGCAAAAGAACAAGAAAGACTGGTAATTATATTTTCCACGAAAAACCTGTCTCAACCTCTACTGCAAACTGACTTAGCTTACAGTTGTTGTGTTTTTTTCTCTCACACACTTTACCGTCTCGCTCAACAAAGTTGCTGATCTGAGCAAATAGAGAATTTGTCTGCGCATTGAATCTGGGCTAAGTCTAATTTCCTAATTTCCTTCGTAAGATTCTATACCAGGTCGAGAGGAGATTAAAGAGGAAAATCCAGATTTTAAATATAATTATAGTAATGTAACTATTAAAGTATTTGAGTTGAGGTAGTAGGAATGAAGCAAAACAGTTATAGGTGCTGAGTGGACAATAAATGTTGTTTCAATTTTTTCTCAAAGGAAGACAGAGTTTGACATTTAAGATGTACTGATAGTTCACCACAGAGATCACAAGCATTTGTTTACTTACATGATTTGTTCGGCTAAGGGACCTTCTGAGGGTTCTCACAGGCAGAAAACATTATGTTCAAGTAACGCAGTAATATTCTTCACATTCGCAATAATCCTCGCATCATCTTGCGTAGAGGTAGACTACAAGTTGTCATTAATATTTTTCTTATTTGAAGATCAGAAAGTAAAAGAGATCGTAGTTCAAATATCCCGCCATCGTCAAAATTCTGTGAACATTGCCATGAGCTGCCACTCATGCGCARACAAATTCTCTATGTGCTGGTGATCTTGCGAGCCATATATGGTTTGCACAAACACGGTTCTGATGAACAACATACAGAAGGCATCTCATGTAAATATTACGCAAAGAAGAACTTAGAAACTTAGAACTTTAAAATTTCAACTGAACTCATTGCCTAACCTTGTATTGCACTAAACTTAACTATTAGGCCATTAGATCGCAGTTCGATTGCGAGTGAACCTGAATTTTTGTGATACATATTTAACGACATTCATGAATAACCACATGTCCTAACATTGACGAGAATGAGTGGAGCAACTGTTTTATAATGGTAATTGAACCGCGTGCCGGAGTGAAATTTGGTATAAAATCAAACTCGCGATTACAAAATC